CTGAGATGGTTAGGACATGTGTTACGCATGAATGCCTAGTCATCGCCTTCCTCGACGAGCAATGTTAGCGGATACAGGGTCAGGCTGGAGAAGAGCCAGCTAGCGGTGGTCAAACCAAAACATGCCTTCACCAGTCAATGAAATACACAACAGTTAGTTTAAGCCAGTCACGTAGGAAGATGTAGACTTCCTGACTGGTTGGGGTCCTCGGGACGATGAAAACCAATGAAGGCTGGAAACAATTGGTGATATGGCTCAAAATCGTTCTCAATGACAGCGCAGATGCATCCACTCCTTGTGACTTATGATTTCCAATGGAACTGTTTTGTTCTTCGTTATCACTACTCCTTTGTCTCACACCTCTGCTCACTGTCTCTATTATGCCTTTCTTGTACTTTCTTCTCTTGCTTCGCGTGCTACATGGAGTGTGGCGACTTGAACTGCAGCACATATATGCAAAGTCCTATGTCGAAAACAGACAGACTTCAAAACCTTCAACGCAGCGCATCCATCAATAAGATTCACCTTAAAACACGAGTCGAACAACTCATTTCCATTCCTCAATGTACTACTTACCAGAAGACACGACTGTACGACCCAAAGATCGATATACCGCAAACCAACATGAACTGGAGAGTTTATCAACTTCCAGAGCTTTGTTCCACTGATTCGTAAGAGAAACCTGGTACGTACATTGTACTCAAGGATTAGAAAAATCTGCTCGGAAGATATGATAGAGAAGGAATTAAACTTATTACGTGGATCCCTACTAGAGAACGGGTATCCACCAAGATTCATAGAAAAATTTATGAAAGAGAAGCCTCCGTAGCCAAACATCAAAACTGTTCCTAAGAAAACTCTCTTCATGAACCTGGAATTCAAAGGTGACATCGCAACCGAAATTCTCGGAGACGGCCTTTCTAAATATCTGAAGAAGACATTTCCAACAGCCACCTTACGTATCACATTCTCCAACAGGAAGTTAATCCAGTCTAACGTTAAGGATAAGATACCGCTTTGGGCCACCTCACTGTGTGTTTATCAGTTTACTTACTCGTTTGTAGCAAAGTATATCGTCTGTATACAACTTCAAGTCCCCAAACGTATTCTGGAACATTGTTCAGCTTGGTTAGCTACATAATAAAAGAAGAATAGCAGCAGCTCTATCCTCAAACGCCTTGTCAACTCTGGATATCGAACACCAGCTCCATGAATGCCTCACTGGGCTACAGAGTCCCTCAATATCGTACAAATGGACTTCGTGTACACTATCTGTACATAGCTGAATCATTATCTTTTCGGGATCTGAAATCGAACCTCTGAATTCAAAAGCGCTACATATGCTCACTCACCCTTAGGTGGCCAGAGTAAAGTTCTTGATATAATTTTACTTCTTTTTATTATGTAAGTCTACTATTATTGTTGTCATTATTATTCCCATCATCCATATTTTATTACCATCCTATTACTGTTTATTAATAACATTACGTTTTCATACAGATTTTATATAAAAACACTCTGTCGTCTTTCCACTAGTTCCTGTCCATTCTGCAAAATCTTATTGACTAGTCATTGTCTCACGCTTATTACGTCATGCCAACTTCTGCCTCTTTTCAAACTTACAATTAGTCATCCCTTCTGGGTTGCACCTTATATTACGTGATACATTTTTCGAGGACAAATTTAACCAGTATCTGATTTTTTTTCCTTCACGTTCCCAGTGGAACATAGGGCCTCAAGCTAGTGGCTTGAAATTTCTGTAGCAGTGTTTAATTTTACAGGATGGGGTTGCTAGCCTCATGCCCAGCCTTTCCTCTTCACCAATCTCATTACTGATTTAGCGAGGTAAAGAAGTGCGTCTGTGGCCAGGGATCGAACCCCGGACCATGTACATGGTCGGCGAGAGTCCTAACCGCTGTGCCACCGACGCACAATATCTGATTGGCTCTATTATTTCTTTGTTAAATACAATTACAATTGTACAGCTTATGAAAATAAATCGTCGAAAAGGGAACATTTTCTTCGCTGTTTACGTCTTTTTCTTATGACTCTACATGGGAATATTTCGTTCATTGAAAACTATTTTCCCTAATACAGAATTCTTCTAAACTGTGAACCCACTACCGAATGAGTGGCGAGAACCAGATGTGTTACGACTTTTAAAGAACTTATTAGCAACCGGCTAATGGCCTAGAGTTACCGTCATTCGAAAATTTGCAGTCGAGGTTCACCAACATTCATAATAACTAAAAATGTCACCAAACCTGGTGATCAAATATCCATGGTTAATTGTCGGAAATCATTAATTAGTTTTTTTTTTATCTTCGCACTGATCTGTAATTCTTTTGATTATTTCGGAAACAGGACAGTCTAATCATGAACAAACGTGTTTACGGATAGGATAAGGTGTTCAATACTTTGGAAATGACAAGCGGTCAGTATATGAGCGGCAATGTAAGTCATTTTTGTAGAACGCTGTTATTTCGCACTAGTCTGAGCAATAAACACCTGCAACACTCGATGAAGTGCGGCTCATGAAATATTCCTTTCATCTGTAAAGCTCCGAGATATAAAAAAGCATTTCGCGATGTGGAGAATTTCAACAGGTAAGCTTGACAAACCTTGTGAGACTGTATTCTCTTCAGGTTAACAGGTAAACAATAATCTATATAAATGTATGCGACGTTGTGCGTCAGTGGTTAGAACTCTCGCCGACCATGCACATTTTCCGGGGTTCGATCCCCTGGCGACGGACACCCGATATCAATGGTCGGCCTGCAAAATTTGGGCTACCGATATCCATGCTGAAAATTTCATACTTGTACCAAAAATACAGTGTAAAATCAAAATAATAAAAGAAATTATTTGCACAGTTGTTATTGAGACCATATCATATAGTGTTAGGTCAGAAGACTGGAAACAATATAATGGACGATGACAGTCGTGTATTTTAGTTCAAATACTGACCAACCTTCAAAGGTCGAAAGAAAAGATTTTTGAGTGAAACGCAACTGGTCGATGATCATTGAGGTGTGACTGACTGATTGCCTATGAGTAGCTCCTGGATAATCTGTACACATATGAAGTCTTCCTTAATGCGTCCGGACAGAATCATTACCCAGGTGACAACTGAACTCACAACCTTCAGAATATGAGACTGATGCAACAAGCGGCTACGCTATTTTGGTACCATTCTAATCCGGTTACTGTTCAATCTAACATAGTGGATGATGACACAAACCAGATTCAAACCAACAGACTATGCATTACTCGTCCAAGCCTCAGCCGGCTGAGTAACGTAATTAATCTGTTGGAATTAGATGATTTCGCCAAGCATTTAGCATAATAACGGTGAAGAGAGATATTAATGGCTGACAAATACCTGAGCAAAACCCATTGGTGATTGAAACTAAATTAAAAAATCTAACTTAGGAGCTTAATGGATAAAACTCTAATTTAGCAATGCATAGATCACAGACTTCAATCCTTTGGAGAATGTATTATCCTTTCCCCCCTTATTAATCAATCAACACATCGATTTGTGAAATATTCACGGATTAATTTAGTCTGATAACACTACTTATTTTAATCCTTTGTCTTTCCAGTGGAACATAGGGGATTCAAGCTTGAGCCTTAACGTTTCAGTAGCGATGGTATTTTTTCTACGTGGTGGAGTTTCTAGTCTCACATTCAACCTTCCCTCACACTGTCGGGCTTACAACCAGTTGCAGGAGGTAAAGGTGTGCGCTGGCCGGCAATCGAACCCCGGATCACGTGTGTAAAGGAATGTGAACATTGAACGTTGGGGTTCATTGACCTTGGAAGCCATCGGTGGGCAACTCAAAGGCACGAATGATTCAATCGTGTACAAGTTGGAAGAAGAAGACGAAAGAATACGAATAAAAGTAAAGTACATTCCTTGTTAAACATTTGTTTATACGTCTCCGATTCAAGGGAGATACTCCTGCGGAGATTCTATCCTAACGTTTAACCAGGGCGATCAAGAAAACTTTCTACTCTGCACGTCTGTCTATCCTTCAGTAGCCGTCCATTGTTCACCCATCAACTCAAAGATGTCTTACCTAACCTTAGCTCTTCTTCATGCATATACCATTTCAACTCTTCCTGTGATTCAAGTTATATAAGGCGGACGATTAGGCAGGTTCGTCTACGGGTCCGAGAACACTTACCAGCTTGGTTCAACAGAGGGGAAGTTAAGTGCATATAAAGCTCGATCATGTCACACTTGGTCGATACTGGGCATCGTATCGATGTCAACACAGCTTTCAGGGTTATATACCGAATTCCAAAGTCGTTATCACGTACAGTTCGCTTACGTCTCCTACACAGGTGAAGCTGTTGCGATAAGATCGACTAAACCGTAATTTTGTATCCAAAAAGAACACGGCCAGACGCTGTTCCTACCGTGGCTACATTGATTGATGATTCTTCCCATAATCAAGAGTGCTAGTTTCCCTTAACCCCCTTGGTTTTTGTTCTTTTCTTTCTTTGCTTATTATTACAATTATTATTATTCGTCATAATTCATGCTCTTCATTCAAACATTCTCTCAATAATATCGAATTTTCATTTATACGGACTTATTATTAGTGATATTATCTCTTTTCTCAATAGATATGCCTCCACCTGTTTCATCTCACACATTTGATGTTTCATTATAAACCTCTCATTGCAGTCATACTATCTCCTTTGTACTAGCCACTCACCTGATACCCTTTTGTAACCCTGAAGTGAGTTGTCAATTTTCCCACGGCACACTCTACAAATCTGTTATGGCTAATCACCACCATTGTCTCCCATTTTATAATATTTTGTAATTGATTTCAGTATAGCACGACGTTTATCACACAAATACGACTACTTATTTTGACAACCCACGACTAATCTGTTATACTACGTTAAAAATGTATCCGCCGCATAACACCTACATATCGTGTCTATAGAGTAGATTCAAGTATTTCGAAGCAAATATATACATATATCTGACGTATACATTTTATTGATAGAAAAATATCTTATAACTTATGTATATATATATATACATAAATACACATACACACACAGAGAGAAACATAAGTACAATATTTATTCAGTCCATTTATGCAAACATTCAACATTCGTACAAACATAATATAAACGCATATTTTCCTCAGCTTTCAATGTTTGCGATTGAAAGAATACAGCTTCTTGTTTACCACATCGACGACAGATATGATCTTCAGTACGTGGTAAAGTCGGATCATGAACAACATCTGGAACGATTAGAGCTAATTCACTGTGAATAAGAATCAAAGCATAACATAACAAATCAAGAGTATATAAACAGTGGTCGAGGAAAAATAGATGCGAAATCTAAAGGTATAAACCTTCAACATAAAAAACGTTTTCAAAAAAGAAAGACAAGATTTACAGTATAAAATAGCATCATCCTTCTATTTCACAGGTTCTCATCAACTGCTGTAGACTACCTAAAATTACACTTGTTGTATAGGTGATAATAACAACATCCTTCAGTGTTTGAATAGTGGTAAAGAAAAATACACTATGAAATCACAACGCATCCGAAATATAAGCAGCATTACAATACTCTTTGGTTGGAGTTACCACCAATTTCTACATGCTTTCAAAGTAGAAGAGGTGAAGATAGAAAACAGAAAAAACAAAATCTGATTAAGTGTTAGCTTGTAGGTTTGTTTACATAGCAACTCAAGGAGGTTATCCATTTATTTATTTTTTATTCTTTCACGTTCCCAGTGGTGGAACATAGGGCTTCAAGCTAGAAGCTAAACTGACTGGGACTCTGTCCCCGCAGGTCCTACCATGTCAGGAAGGTTGTTGGATAGCGGATAAACTAAAAGCAGTTACCATGGTGTACATGGGCTCCAGAATCCAATCGGATCAAATGGCGTATGAACCCATATGGGTCACTGGCAACCATGGGAATGCAGCTCCTGACGCTGCTCCGCTGCCTTGCGGATTAGACTCCAAGTCAAAGGCTCGGGGGTGGACCCTTAATATTTATTTATTTTTACTTTTGATTACAGCTTGATTTCACACTGTATTTTTGGTACAAGTATGGAATTTTCAGCATGGATATCGGTAGCCCAAATTTCTCAGGCCGACCATAGATATCAGGTGTGCGTCGGCGTGGGCTCGAACCCCGGACCATGTGCATGGTTGGCGAGAGTCCTAACCACTGTGCCACCGACGCTTCGGTCTGGGCGCCCGGGCAGTATCTCAGCCCTCACACAATGAATTGAATAAAGCAACAAACAATCAATGAAACTTATCGCGTGCTATTACACGTGTTGCAGTTTCCTTCTTTCTTCCCTTCCCGATGATAGTTAACGAATACTGTCTGAACTTGTTAAGCATGACTGTTTTCCTTTATGATGAAGTTCTTAATCCGTTCTCTACTTATATATTTTTTTCTCTTCTTTCTTTTTTTCTTTTGATCTATGTTGTTCTATAATTATTGTGTGGCGCATCCTTCTTGGTGCCGTATTGTACCAAGTTTTTATGCGTTTAAATAAATAAATCAAACTGGTGAAGAAGGAAGGTTGGGCATGAGGCTGATTAGCAACCCCATCCCGTAAAAGCAATAAACACTACTGCTGCTGCCGAAACTTCAAGCTGGCTCTAGCTTGAAGCCCTATGTTCCACCACTGGGAACGTGAAAGAATAAAAAATAAATAAATAGATAACCTCCTTGAGTTGCTATGTAAACAAACCTACAAGCTAACACTTAATCAGATTTTGTTTTTTCTGTTTTCTATCTTCACCTCTTCTACTTTGAAAGCATGTAGAAATTGGTGGTAACTTCTTACTTTACTTTACTTCGGCTATCTCCTACGGGAGGATGAGCCGGCTTCATGAACGTCAGAGAGTTCATGAAGTTTCATGGGAATTTGGTACGAGTGATGTCCCCAGCATCGCTCGGCCTTTTGTTTGAGAGTGCAGCTCTAGCCTTTACACAGCCAAGTGTGAACTACAAGGCAGTAGGAGTGGAGTAAGGAGTCCACTATCCATTGGAAGCCGGTGACCGGAGTCCGGTTCATACGCCTTTTTGAATGGGGCCAGACATCCAGGACATCCAACAAGCCCTTTGTCCATACGTCTGCCGGTGAGCTCCAGTGAGCTTCATACGCCAGTCGTTGGAGGTTTGGAATCAGGGTTTAGCCATCTCCCCTAGACTGTCATCCAATGGACAGTCAACCAGGTGGAGAGCGCCGGGCATCCGCTTTCGCCCTCTCACTTTGGTGAGAAACACCTCAACTTCAACCAAAGAGTATTGTAATGCTGCTTATATTTCGGATGCGTTGTGATTTCATAGTGTATTTTTCTTTACCACTATTCAAACACTGAAGGATGTTGTTATTATCACCTATACAACAAGTGTAATTTTAGGTAGTCTACAGCAGTTGATGAGAACCTGTGAAATAGAAGGATGATGCTATTTTATACTGTAAATCTTGTCTTTGTTTCTCTCTTTATTGAAACTTATGAAGCTAATCAAATGTGTAAAATGAAAAGGTGATTTTCTTGCTTTAAGGCTAGAAAATGTTGCAGTGATAGTGTCGAGATGATACACACTGAATTTTATAGTTTTTTTTCACAAAGTGAGACAAGGTAAATTAACAGGTAGGTAATTCGATTATTTCATGTATCTTTCAATATGTATACACACCCAACCCATTCCATGAATAAGTTCAATATTTAAAAAATATACGAAGACGGCAAAGTGAAAGTATCACAGGCCATGGAATGCGAACGCACGAATGACCTTGAGCCGACCAATCATAAACGTAATCACAAAAAAGTGACGTTCATTTATAAGCAAATACATGATGGGTATCCTTCTCTGACATCAGTGAATAATGTGTCCCAGTTATAATGAGGAGTATTTGTCTTTGATCATAGGTGCTACCGTTCTATCTCCCGTGTGAAGTGGTATAATAAGGTGAGCAATATTGAGGTTAGGCGTCGAGTTCTGGGTAAACAGGGGAAATCAATCGACGAAGTTGTGAAGTTACAAAGACTGAGATGGTTAGGACATGTGTTACGCATGAATGCCTAGTCATCGCCTTCCTCGACGAGCAATGTTAGCGGATACAGGGTCAGGCTGGAAAAGAGCCAGCTAGCGGCGGTCAAGCAAAAACATGCCTTCACCAGTCAATGAAATACACAACAGTTAGTTTAAGCCAGTCATGTAGGAAGATGTAGACTTCCTGACGGGTTGGGTTCCTCGGGACGATGAAAACCAATGAAGGCTGGAAACAATTGGTGATATGGCTCAAAATCGTTCTCAATGACAGCGCAGATGCATCCACTCCTTGTGACTTATGATTTCCAATGGAACTGTTTTGTTCTTCGTTATCACTACTACTTTGTCTCACACCTCAACTTACTGTCTCTATTATGCCTTTCTTGTACTTTCTTCTCTTGCTTGTGTGCTACATGGAGTGTGGCGACTTGAACTTCCGCACATATATACAAAGTTCTATGTCGAAAACAGACAGACAGGCAATGAGGAGTGCTGTTTTTAAGTTGCATCAATTTCTATATTCAGATATATATTCATCAAGGTGACTGAAAATAAGTTCGTTTCGAGAGCTGTTTATTGATCTTATCCTGCTTTTCAATCTACCCCAGAAGCCCTCTATTGAATTGGTATGAGTGCTAGTGTTACGGGGTCGATGAAACCATCAGAATGGTTAACTCGATGATGAATATATATCCCAAATCTGATAAGCGTTTATATCCAGCCCATTTAACTGTGTGGATAGTACGTACCAAGAATAACTAGCCTTTGAATAATGGGTAGAAGGGTGTCGGCACTACGATCTGGCATCACCTCCATTATTCTCTTCTGAATTTCGGTGTCATAAATACCTAGTGACTGATTGACTGACTGGTTTCAACGTAAAACTTTGCAGAGATGTGCAGCAGTCAAACTTGCCACATTGTCTCCACGTAGCACACAGGGCAAGATAAGCGAGTAAAGAGAGATGTGAAAGATGGATAATAAACACAAAACAGTACCCAAATGTTGTTAGCCCTGGAAAAACTGCAGTTGTATTTCTTATTTATAAGGACTGTCTCATCGATGCGAACGGTCACACCAACTTCTCCTAACAGCACTATCATATTACTCAACTTCTAGGGGGCTATATCTCTGCAACTGGTAGAGCATGTTGACCACTTCACCTATTTGGGAAGTTGCAACATTCAGGCCAAGAGAGATGATCGCTGAGGAAATCTCAGCAGTTAAATTTTTAAAGTACTATTGAGAACTTTCAGTTAGAGAACCATTGAAAACCAGCCGCAGGGAGTACTGGAAAGCCGTTTCGTCGCTCTAGTTTAGGACTGATCGGTAGTACGTATCCACTGGGTTTCGAATGCAGGACCTTCAGGTTACACAGCAAGCTCGTATGCCATTCGGCTACTGGGATCCGATTCACTGACGTACAGCAACAACTCAGCTCCACTTTGCTAAATTTTCTGCCGTCCTCTTCAGCTGGGCCCATGGTTGCCTAAACTCTCTCATCTCCTCACTCGATCTCCTCTACTTCACTTTCGAAGTGAATACCCCCTTGTTGTTTTCCATTCGAGTCCCACTCGAGCGATGGTCTGCATTGAACACAATGCCATTTGACGGTCTTTTTAATCCATTTACATTTTCTCCAGAGTATTTGTTGAACGACAGGTTCTTGGTTGGTTCGTTCCTACAATTTCTTGCTGCCAACCATCTGATCTTCAACATGGAGCCAGAGAAGGCTGCTGTTAATAAAAGTCTGCCGTAGTCTGTTGAAAACGCTTTTGGTGACGCGCCGACCGACTTCCTCACCCATAGAGAAGCACTGACTAACTTAGCATTGGTGTTGAAAATACGAGTCTTGTTCTTTATTCTGAGTCAATGCAGAAAACTTTCAAACTGATTTCAAATTGATGAAGGTCTACCTTGCCTTTCCGATCCTGTCCAGCTATGATATTCTTATCCCTATTGCTTCCTGTGGTTGAAACGATGCTTCCTACATAAGTGAAGGAAGTAACCTCTGTTAAATCTCTCCCGTTGATGGCGATTGGTGCTGGTTGCTTTTGTTGCTGTCGGTTGGTTATCTTCATCACCTCCGTCTTTTCTCTATTCACCTGGAGTCCTGACTTCTTCAGCCAGTTTGTTGGTTTTCGCCTGCAAGTCTTCGAGTGTGTGTGTGACACTGAACATAAATCATCCACGAGCGAAATCCAGATCTTCTACAGTCTTCTTATCGGTGGTCCAAAGTATCCTTATCTCTACACCACTCACAGTCTGCCGCTTCATAATCCAGTCCATCAGAAGAACATCATTGGTGATAATACGCAGCCAGCTCGTCTTACTCCTCTCTTCACTTCAAAGGCTTCACTGAGTTTTCCGTTGTGGATCACCCCCTGACACGTGGCATTGTCATATAGCCAGCTATTGAATGACGTCGACAAAGACTTGTGCACTGCAGACCATAGTGTTGAAGTAGCTTCCGAACTACATCTCGGTGAACACTGTCTTTAGAAGGCCCTTTCGAAGTCGATGAAGTTAAGGTGAACAGGTTTGACTACTATTCTATACTCTGTTCAATGATGATGTGTAGAGTTGCAACTTGATCAGCACACACACACGACTTGTCTTTCCTGAGTCCAGCTTGTTTCAGGTTGGCGGAGTTCTGCATTCAGTGCATCATTTATTCCCTCCAGAATTACACGACTTAATATTTACTTGACGTTGACAAAAGCATTATTCCACGCCATTTCTGGTAGTGTTGTAAGCGATTTCTCATATGCATTACATTTAACCAGAGATAAATAAATATAGAAGGCAATCAAGATGCTAAAAGCTGGAAAAGCAGCAAGACCAGATGGAATCCCAGCAGAAGCATTAAAAATGGACCCAAACACAACAGCGGAGTTGACGACACCATTGCTGGAGAAGGTGTGGAAAGAGGGCAAGGTACCCGAGGATTGGAAGAAAGGATACTTATTCAAACTACCAAAGAAAGGAGATTTGAGTCAATGCAAAAACTGGAGCGGAATTATGCTTCTGTCCATCCCAAGCAAAATACTAAACCGCATCATCCTGGAGAGAATCAAACAAGCCCTAGACGAAAAACTTCGACCAGAACAGGCCGGATTCAAGAGAAACAAGTCATGTATTGATCAAATTGCAACGCTGCGGATCGTCATTGAACAGAGCTTGGAATGGCAGTTAGCTGTCTATCTCAACTTCACTAATTTCAAAAGGGGCCTTTGACAGCGTCGATCGAGAGGTAATTTGGCAACTACTTCGCTACTACGGGGTTCCATCGACAATTATACATCCCATCCAATAGTTGTACGACAACGCTGCATGCCAAGTAATCCACAACGGGAAACTTAAGGAATCCTTCGAAGTGAAGACGGGAGTAAGACAAGCTGGCTGCCTACTGTCGCCAATAATCCTCCTGATTGCAGTAGATTGGATAATGCGACAGACAGCGGCGGGTAATGAGGAAACAGGCATAAAATGGACTCACACCAAAAGCCTGGAGGATATGGACTTCACCGGTGATATGTCTGATTTTCCACAAACTGGAAGATATACAAGTGAAAAGCAACAAGTTGGCAGAAGTATCAAAGATAGGGCTCCAAGTAAACATAGAGAAAACAGAGGTGATGAAGATTCTTGGGCAACACCAACAGCAGCAACACCAACAGACAACAATCAGCCAGCATAAATGGGAGGAACCTGAAAGAAGCAACCTGCTTTACCTACCTACCTGGGAAGCATCGTTTCAACTACTGGCGGAACTAGCGAGGATATCAAGGCAAGAATCGGGAAAGCAAGACAAGCTTTCATTACTCTTAAGACTGTGTGGAGGTCAACGGCACTCAGCATCAAAAATAACATCCAGATTTTCAACTTCAATATGAATTCAATGCTACTATACAGATCAGAGACTTGGCGCGTCATAAAGAGCATCTCCCACAAACTTCAGACCCTCATTAACAGTTATCTTTGCTCAATACTCAAGATCAGATAGCCAGAAAGGATCAGCAATAGGGACCTCTGGGAGCGAACCAACCCAGCAGGAACCGATTGTGAAACAAGTAGGCAGGAAGGAATGAAGATGGATTGGCTGGCCATACTATGAGGAAACCATCAAGTGACATCACTAGAGAAGCCATTGCTCGAGTGGAACCCGAAAGGGAAGCGGCGAGTTGGTCGTTCAAGGGTGACTTGGATGAGGTCATATGAAGAGGAGATGAAAGCATGTGGGCAGACTTGGAGCCAGGTGAAAACTCCAGCAGAGAACCGAACGCAATGGAGACGCGCGGCTGAAGCCCTATGTTCCTCTAGGAATGAAAGGAAATAATAATAATAATTCAGTATGCTCAACTCTTAGTTATTCAAAATAAAACCACTGGGGCCCAACAATGAAATGTAAATGATTAAAAATATCAACTTTAACAGTACTTACTCAACTTCTTGTTCAAGTTTATTGATATAAACACAAGGATTATCTGCTTCCTGGGAATAATCACAATTACGACAAGCATAAAATAAGGTTTTTGTGTGTTTATCCTCTTTTGGATAAAGCATATTATTACATTCACTACAGAATAAAATTCCAACATTTGGTTTTGTATCATACTAAAAATACAAAAGTGAATGATGATGATTTTAGAGAAAATATTTTTGGACATACTGTTTCCATTTTCTTTGTTTCTGATGAATTGAATGCTTATATAATAGACAGATAGATAGGTAAACAGAGCACTTTTATACGGAATTACTATATAAAATAAGAAACCAAAGATTAGATTAAATATTTTATGACAGAAGTTAGTAAAATAAGATGATATTAAAAACAGAAGATACTGTTATCATTACTATTACAAAAGACAGTCGTCTACTTGGAGGCCAGGGTGCGGAACTTCGCGGGACCGGGAGTTCTGGCGTATGGGTGCTCATGTTGATCGGGCGTCCACGCTAAGCACGGCGCCGACATGGATGACCTGTCAGAGGATGGGTTGTCCAGGTATACTAAGGAGGGGCGCACCGGCCCAGGGGGGAAATCCAGCAGGCAAAAGTCCTCGCGTGGTGCGGGATAGTGCCTGTGAATGGTGGCCATGTGACAGCCCGGTCCGCGGGTGGAGACCGCCTCCTCCCTTTTATGCGCCGGTGGCACAGTGGTTAGGACTCTCGCCGACCATGCACATGGTCTGGGGTCCGATCCCCTGCCGACGCACACTTGATACCTATGGTCGGCCTGCAAAATTTGGGCTACTGATATCACATGCTGAAAATTCCAAATCTGCACCAAAAAAATACGGTGTGGAATCAAGCTGTAGTCAAAAAAAGTTTAATTGCCACTACATTTAGATTTTTGAATATGCAACTTCCCCCCGCTCCGCCGCACACACACACACACCTATAATATCACAGAAGTACACGCCTCACTTTTCTTGAAATCTGAAAACATAACGGTAAACGAAACTATTCAAAACTGTTCGACTCAAGTGAATTCACAGCCAGCAAACAATAAATTTCCGAGCATAACAAATACGGTAAGGATAAGTGAAATTAGGCGTCATAGGGTGAATTAGAAAGGAAAGTTGATCATCACAACGAGGTTATGAAACCTCATCGCACAGTCAGTAACCACCTCTCCCTTTAATGATTTGATTTTGATTTTTGATTACAGCTTGATTCCACACTGTATTTTTGGTACAAGTATGGAATTTTCAGCATGGATATCGGTAGCCCAAATTTCGCAGGCCGACCATAGATATCAGGTGTGCGCCGGCGTGAACTCGAACCCCGGACCATGTACATGGTCGGCGAGAGTCCTAACCACTGTGCCACCGACGCACAGTCGTTGTGAGATTAATTTGTAGAACAGTTAGATGTGGCCACACGACAACACAATATCAATCCATAATATCAGTGATTGTTATTTTAAGCCACATAGATCGACACAAATTGTCTGACTGGAATTGTCAGGATGCTGAGAATAAACAAACTGTAGTTCAGATGCCATACATACATGTACTCAGAATTTACGATCTTCATGATCCTTAAAATGCTAGACACAGGTCAGCACGGACGTATATGTCTGACCCTTCAAGAGTTTAAGCATAGCATTCGTGTCTGCTTTTGAGTTCAGTACGACTTTGGGGAGGCGTACCGGTTAATTTACTGCAGTCAGCCTTTTCGCCGATTCTTTACAAGCTATGGATAGTAACACCTGATACTTTTGCTGACATCAACCTATCTAAGAGAGGTTTGACTAGGTTATGTTATGATTCTTCCACTTCGTTGGGAATCAACGACCTGTCAGAGTGGTCAAGTTTTCTTGGGATGGCTTTCTTGCTCTGCCGTGAAGGTGTCCTTCCGCCCTTCGTCAACAGTGTGGCTTTTACGGCAACTTTGTCTCGCTTTTTGAGGGAAACTACATTACGCCATTCACTGGCGTCCTCTCCCCCATCTGTCGTTGGCTGTGTTTGCCTACTGTACACTAGCGTGGATAAGGCTTGATCAACAAGTTGGGGGCGATTTCAACTGCTGGTTTTCGACTCCCCTACGCCTTTTTCTCTTGCCAGCAATAGGCGAATAGGTGTTAGAGTTTTCTATCGCCTTTTCATTACGGGTACTGAAGGGATCATCAGGTATAGTAGTGACAGTGTGGGTGTCCAAGATAAGGTTGATACTCTCCTATGCTGAGGGGCTCTCATTCATTGACAATGACGCATCGAGAACGCGTAGTGTCTTGTCCATGACGCTAGCCACGTCATCGCTGTCTGAGCGACAGATGTCCTTCTGTGGCGAAGGAACTTTGCAGTCCAGAAGCTTTAGCGTCCCGGTAAGCATGGTAATGGCTTCTTTGATAAGAAACTCCGTTGTCCTGCAGCAGTCACTACACAGCCAGTTTACCGGAGGCTTGCAGCAGCGTTTGTATGCTGCGGGGGTTAGGTGGGTACACATGCTGTGGAACCAATGCTTGCATTTGTCACATCAGATGCCTTCGTCGACTGACACGTTAGTCTCCCGCGACGGTTTTTTTACAGGCATACTTTTCAAAATGAACTATGACTACACAGTTCGAACATGACCTAATTTTTTTTAAATTCCTCAACGTTCCCAGTGGAACATAGGGTTTCAAGTCACAGGCTTGAAGTTCCGGTAGCAGTAGTGTTTGTTTCTACGGGATGGAGTTGCTAGCCTCATGTCCAACCTTCCCTCTTAACCAGTGTTATTACTGATTTAGAGAGGTGTAGGAGTGCGTCGGCCGGAGACCGAACCTCAGCCCACCTAAGTGGTCGATGAGCATTCTACCGCTGAGCCACCGAAAGACAAGCATTACCTTAGGAACAAAATTATATAACCAACGATGAAATCAGCGCATTTGGAAGGAAATCTGATGGATAATAACTATACTTGTTGCGAACTTTGAAAAGAGAGTGAATTTTGCACGCTCTACTTCTATTTCCGCTTTTGTTGCATTATACGCTCCACAACCCTACACATTCACTTTAACTCAGTTTATTCTGGGCGAAGTTAGTTTTATTTATAAGTTTCGAGTCTATTTGCTCAAAGGATGTGAGCTTCTATAAGATCGTAGTTATTATCAACAATCATGTTATCACAGCGTATCTGAAAAACAACTTGCTGTCCAGAGCACAGAGTGGCTACCGGGAAAAACCTCTCACGCCTGTCAAAATTTCTTATAGCAGGACAATGCTGGGTTAAGTCAAAGGACAATGGAAGACCCATCGAAGTTGTTTTCATAGACTTCAGAAAAGCCTTTGGTAAAGTGCCTCACAATAGACCAATGGCAAAAATGGAAAGTCTTGGAATCAAAAGAGGCTTACTGAATTGAACTAGGAAATTACTCATAGGAAGGAGAGACACAGAGTCAACACTACGTGGTGGAGTAGTGCTACAAGGTACTGTACTCAGTTTCTTCTTATTTATTCCGTATATCGATGAGTTATCCATCCTCACTGATTCCCCTATAGTCCTATACGCAGACCATTTAAAAATTTGGATGAGGGTGAAGGGCAACAGTGATACGCTCACGTTACAAGCAGACCTCAACAAATTGTTAGAGCGGTCCAGAGAATGAATGCTCCCGATCAATTTAGCGCATCTATGGGCAGTGGACACTCAAGCTTCACCTCTTAAGAACCAGAGGGGATAACACCACCGTCATTTCAGACTCAATCGGATTCTGGTGTCATCGTAAGTCACGATTTAAATACTACAGCACATTGTCGTGCAGTGGCTGCAGGTAGTTCCTGACCTTTGTGTGGAGTCCGCAGCGACTTTGCTAGAATTACCAGAAATATTTTCACCTCGTTATATACGTCTTTGGTGAGGCCAAGACAAAAAAATGTATCCAGGCAGCCAATCCGTGTCTCATAGGTTTTCAAGTATTCTAGGAAGATTTCAGAAGAAGGCAACACGTATGGTTCTTGGCATGACTAACTTATCACACGAGGGGGGACTAAGCAGTTTAAATCTCTTCTCCCTATCATACTGTAGTAGGCAGAGATATCTTATCACAGTGTTTAAAATTTTATATGATGACTACGGACGTGGCTTATTGGCTCGTTTTTTTCCACCAGGAACACGTTAGGCAAGAGAGTTCAAAAGACAAGAAGAAACTATGTTGCTGTGGAGTATTGGTTCTCACGCCATCACCTCCTGCAACTGACTCACAGAAGTGGTATCAGTGCTCTCAAGTTTGTCTTTACGAATTAACATAAGACTAAAACCATTTCCTAGAGGAGTCTCATTAACACGTGACATTATGAGGGCGGAGAGGAAAGTCAGTGCGTAACTAAACACTCACGTCGTCAGTATGAAACCAGATAGCTAAAGTTAGACAGGCCTCAAAATCACCGCTTATGTTTCTCAATTGTTCAATAGACTTATTATAAACAAGGTAGGTATACCATTTGTTTTCTTTAAGGTTGTCTCCAAATCTATTTTATCTCTCTTCTTGTAAGTTCTTTGGCTTGTGTGATTTTTCAAGAGCCGTTTTGATGAGGTAATATACTGGTGGATGAACCAGCTCTCGACAACTGCACAGTTTTCCCTTGGGTTTCAACAAATTTGTTATTTTCCTAAAATTGACCTAACCCATTGGAAAAGAAATAAAAAGTGGACCATGTCTTAACACTTTGGTGAGGCAATTTTCGCTTGAGTAAATGTAGAAAACAGGAAACGGAATCTAATGAAAACAAAACACGTAGATCAGCGAAGAGACTCTTTTCAGCGAATTCATTTTCTTAATCGTAAAATCGAAAATATATAAGTGTTATTTTGTATGTATGTGTACATTAGGTCTGTCAAAGAAAATTACAATAGGTTATTTTAAATAAACAGGTGAAGATTGGTAATAAAGTCAAGAAAATTAGGTGTTAAATTAGCTGTTTTTATTAATGCCTATATAAAAGGGATTGCCCATGAATTGAAATGGAATCTATTTGCTCTAATCATTTTTTGTCACGGTACTTGCGCAAGCGATTGTCAGCCTTACACGAGCCCCTCAAGTTTCTTGAATTAACATCGATCCAAAACGAGCACTTCAGTACGATCTTGCGATCAAATTTAATATGCCTGCGGGCACAGTGTGGAGCTTAAACCTAAGCGCCGCGTCATGTTTCCTGCATTCTCAACCATGGTTCCTGAGTAGGGTGAAGGCAGTCGGAAAACTCAATAAACCGGTGGTACTATGAATATTTTTCCCTCATTCTTGGATTTATCCATCCCTACTCCTCGAGACAGTGGAAGATTCGTGTAGTTAGTTGGATTGTTGTAATAACCAGTGATCCCATTATGCCCTGATATTATCTCTCGCGATAACTTGCAGTCCTACACCCATTGGCTGGCGTTAAAATTCCATTTTTCCTTCCCTCTTCAGACATCGTTGAACGATACCACGCCAAGGAGTCAGCTGAACGGCACAAATTTACCACAATAGGGGGTGGAGGGCAGGAAAATGAGCTCATAGCCTTCGAAGCATTGCCTCCTACTTAAGCAGTTACACACCACCCGAGAAAAGTGGATGAACCAAAATGATATTGAAGGGACCAACATTACCGTGTGGATACTTGTGAATGCAATAATCTTCTTAATTAGATAACTTTTATAAAGCGAGAACTAAAAGTTAGACCGAGCATGGGGACAAGTTAAGCAGTGATAAGATGTCATTACATATATAAGTATGGATGTTTCAAAACATTTTTCTGCTACCCATGGCTTTACAGAACTTTTGTATGATTTCCCTAGGAACTTGTTTTTCCCAGAGATAATGTCACTTTTACCGAGAGCTATTGCAATGAGCTGAAAATTCAGAACACTAAATGATTAAGTCGGAGACCAGCAGGGCGCAATCCTGTACAAAAAATCTGTATTCGCCTCAAAGGAACCTTAGCTCTCTGACAAAAGGTTCGCTAATAAACACCGCATCTAACCCTGTATCTTCGATCTTCTACATATTAAGGCATGAAGTCGGCTATCTGACCATGGATAGATAGGCTGGGTAAACTGCTCCTTCACCTCCCCCCCTGAAGACAGGAAATACTAAGTTTGTTACAGCTATAGTGTATTACAGGAAAGAGCTATGGTAGCAATAATACACAGTCAAGACACCTTATTCATGGAAAGCCGTGATTACCCCTTGCAGAAACCAATTCCTGTAT